CCATCCCAGGAGTATCAGTCTCTGTTAAAGCCCCTGGAATCCTTTAAAAAACACTGGGAAGGTGGCTCTTGTTCTCTCTTGCATTTTGTAGGACTTTTGCCTAAGGAAGTGTAAAGTCATCCTTTCCTCAAGCTACTGCAAAAGCCACGTGGCAATCAGCAGGCCCTGCAAGCTAGCTTTGCTCTCGGAAAGGCAGCAGCTGTGTTGCTCCAAAAATCCCTCCAGAATGTCAACAGATCAGCACTGTACAAACAGCCTGATTTAATATAAAATGCAATACAATATTCTTGCTTTGTCTTCGGGTTCACAATGTTGATGAGTGCAATAACTCAGAGGTGAGTAATGGTACCCACTGAAAAGACAGAAACAGAAAACTCTCAAGCTATGTTTGTGAATTCATTTCCTCGTCTTAGCTGAACATGAGAAATGGCTATAATTTAGTTCCCATTTAAAAGTTCCTGTTGGCTAAAACGTTAAACTCTTAATTGCTTCTTAATATTCTCTGCTTATTTTATCTTTTTAAACCATTGTCTATATGGTACGGTACTGTTCAGAATAAAAGCTGCAAAGAAAAGACATCTGATATCCAATGAAAGGTCACCGGTCAGACTAAATACCCTTTTTTTTTAAGCTGCGAAGCTTAGAGACAAGATCTCAGTACATGTTTAAATATTTCAGGTGCCTTCATTTCCAGAATGGCGTCACTGCCCTGCCATGTCCTTGAACAAAAGTGCAAAACAGCGGTCCGGTACCAAAATGCAAATTGCTACAGGAAGTCTCCTGTTTCCCTTCACCACTGTAATGCTCAGGAATACCGTTACCACTCCACAACGTTTTTATCAACCGAGGTTACTGAAATCGAGTGTGGATGCAGAGATGCGTACCGTGCCATGTGAGGGCTCGGCACAGCAGAGCGATTCGACTTGCCACGGGACAAACCCATGTACGCAGTCACCCTCGCACTGGATGGTCTGAAGGCTGACACACTTTGATTTTCAGCACACAGAGAAGAGGAATCAGAGCATCTATGAGCATGTCCAGGCCTTTTTTTTTAGTGTTTCCATCAGTCGAACCCTTGGTTCTTCTGCGAGTAACATACAACTCTCTGGCAATCTTTTCTGGGTGTCAGCATGAACATGTTCATAACTAGACTCCTGTCTTCCTTTGCTGTTCCTGGGTCAAGTGTCTCTACTGGAGTTAGCTGGAGTGAGGCATTACCTTTACTAACACTCGTCCAACTAGACATAATGCCGAGCTTCAAGCTCTAGACCTTGTGAACAAATATCCTGAAAATCAACGATGTAATGCCTAAATTGCCAAATCTGTTTGCAAATGCACTCAAAGAAACAAATCCGGGTAAGAGAGACGTGACATGTCAAATGATGGGCTCCCTTTTCCTCCTGCTCAAGCAGCTGGGGATTAACAACCATATCAAGCCAAATCTGTTGCACCGCTAAGGTCCGGGCTATCCTGTGGGCATGCGATAAAGCTGTCTGCTTGTTGTTCTGGGGTACCAAGCAATGCAATTTTTGCAGCCTCTTGATGCTGACCTATTTATATTTTATTTGCTCCCATAATAGAGAAAATATATTATTATTCTCTCCAGCTCTCTTTGCATTGCAGTTTCATTAAAACTATACGGAGACCAAGAAACTAAGTGCAAACCCCCCCGAACCACAAAACAAATCAAATCAAAATCAAACAAACAACCCCCCCAACAACAGCACCCCCGCCCCAAGAATTGCTGGTTGCCTTTCAGTTCCAACGCCTTTTCATGACTCGGGTGGCAGCAGCGCGGGACAGAACGAAGTGGCCTCCTGCCTCGAAGATCGATCATGTTATGGCCTCCAACTGTCCAGTCTGTGCTGGGCAAAGGAAAGGGGGATCCCAAACTGTCCCCACATATCAAGGAGCTCGTATGGAAGTAGAGCCGTCATTCCCAGCTACTTCCAAGAAAAGACATAACTACATGGAAGTTCAACCCCTCAGTTAAGAAACCAGTGATAGCTTCCTTTGGTTTTAATTTTCAAAGCAACCTTTTTCTTACACTGGGAAATCAGCACGGAATTACTTTCATCAATAACACTAGATGTGAGAGTTGCAAAGGGTCAGAACCGATATTGGTTTTTAACATTCGTAGACCCCCACTCCCCCACTCAGGCTTGACTGAGACTCCTAGATGGTAGGAGATGCAATGCAAACAACCGGAAGACCGTGGTCTGTTTATGGAACAAATCAACTGGTCCCCGAGTGCCCCAAAACACCCCCTTGCTTTGCCCTCTGCGTGCGTGGCCACCCACCACCCCTCGGCAGTTGCCCGTTCTCTGTGCGTGCTGTAATGCATTTTTTCACTCAAGAACAAAGACTTGCTGCTCAGGAAGAGACCACCGCGCCTGACGTGCCCGTCCCCTTGGGGGTTCCCTCCTCTCCACAAGTGCTTTCATGCTATATTCCTCTCTGAAAAAAAAAGATCAGTCTCCAACTCATTTTCATGCTCTTTACTTTTGATAGGCTGATTTTGCAAATTATTCCCTATGTTGCCCATTACACTTTTAAGTTAAGCACTTCTTTCTGAAGACCTAGTTCATTCTTCCTCCTAACTTTCTGAATTGCATCTCGTTGGTTGTTTTTCTTTCTTGCACTTTTTTTTTTTTTTTAACGCTCACCAATCTAAACAGTTTATCCTTCCTAAGGAAAGTGAACCAAACTTTTCAGGGCCCACAAAATACCACGTCTCCCCTTCCATGCATTCAATGCTCTGGGCAGTCAGGAATACAACTGCAGATGATGTGTGCTACACCCTTTTTTGATTCAACCCCAAATGCTCCTTGCCCTTCTTATTGTGTTTACATACACACAACTTTCACTGTCCCATCTAGTTTTTCACCAAGAAACTTCATCCTTGCATTTGGCTATACCTCGTTGTGATGGCTTTATTACCTGGCTTTTGTAATTTTTCAGCTGTTAACAAACAGTTGTGCAAATTATGAAAAGTAGGTGGAGACATATGCATATATGCTACCAACTTTACCAAGTAATTCCATTATAATTCTGTTCTTTTCCCCTCCTCTATGTATTTTTGTTACCACTGAGAAAATTTAAATTGTCTCATGAATTTTTAGGCTGAAATGTGCTCAACCTCAGTTATACGGTACTTTAATTTTGGTCACCAATCATGCAGTGGTCCCCAGTATAGTCATCGCTTACCAAGAGTAGTTTCTGGGTACCTCTAACTAAGCCACTCTGCTCTATCAGCTTGAATATGGTTTTGCTACTGCTTCAGCAAATTGAGCACCAGTTTTTCTTTTTTTCATAGAGTCTATTAGTGAAACTACAGAACAAAATAAAAAATACCTTGCAAACAGCCATAAAAGCATTTTCCTGAGTAATCCCCATTACCATTCTGTTCAGCTCAAAGGCTTTTCTGTGTACAAAGACATCTTCATATATTGCAAAATAAATGTTACCTTCCATTACATTGTGTCTGGGAACCCATTCATTTCAGTGGGGTTCCCTGGATGGCATTTTGAGCAATTTTTCCCACTATATATGATGAAAAAAATGGGAGAGATTTTGGGAAACATATATGGAGAGAGGTCAGCGAAAGCAGTCACCACTGAAGTCTTTACAGTTGAATCTTTTATATAAGTACCACTACTGCTGGTCACAGGACTGTCATAATATTGCTAATTACTTGCAAATGTCAATGGAAACGTTTTTAATTCGGGCCACTGTCACCTATTTATTAATGTTCATTTGAACTTTCCAGACTCAGCTTGGCCAATTAATGGTTGCCCAAAAAGATATTTTTAAGGATAAACTGACAGTCCTCAAAATCATTTCTTTATGAAAGACAATTAAAACACAGGCATTTCTAACAACGTTTCTGCTTCTGTGTTCCACTGAAATCAACCTGTTCATAAGTCTTGACAACTGTCCCAGGCTAATGCTTTCTTTATCTTTTGGTCAACAATTGTGTACGAAGAGTTTAGAAGACTATCAACAGCAAGAAAAAGAAAAGGTCATTCGCGTACAAGCCAAGTGCACACGGATGCTGCAGACATGAGCAATTAAGACTGCATCCCAACTTAGCAATACTGATCTTAGTCAGGACTTAGTGATGAGATGTGGCACTTCCCAAGCAGGTGAGCAGGTCTGCAAGTCCTGGGATGACAAGGCTTGAACAAGGCACGGCAATTATTTTCTGGCCTGGATGGTTAATTCCTGCCACTCCAGAATTTGTGATCTGGTCGCTCGTGTCCTTCTGTGTCCCTCAGCCCCTTCTAGAAAGGAAATGGTGAAGTCCAAGCCTGGCTTTATCTCAGATGCTGTCTTTCTTACACAAAATCATAGGCAAAGTTAAATTCACTCATAAAACTTTAAGTTGACATCTTAATGGAGGGTCAAGGAGACTCAGGCTTTAGGGGCAGGATATATAAGCACCTAGGAAGATGCTTCAGGGTCACGTTTATCTTAAGCCAAACGTGCATTGAGGTTACTGAGGCTAATCCCAAGCACTGAACATCACCACACTTGGCGCAAACATCAGTATCTCTTTAGGAGAAGCAAACTGCAGGGTTTATTTGGAGAGCTGAAGCAACAGAAAGCGGAGTTGAACTGGCTGGCATCACCCAGAGAGGCTCAGAGCCCCAGTCCAGCAAACCCTTCTCCCACGACCCTTTATCCTGAAGGTCAGGCCCAGAGTGCATTTTTACAGCTATTTAAGATGAGCTAATTGAGGAAACACTTGTCTGCATTACAGGTGGTTCCGGCTGGTGCAGCCACTAATCTCATTTTCATGACACAAAAATCAATACTCAAGACACTTGAAAGAGTTAACCAAGAGCAGCTGTTGTAGCACTGCGAGAGAGACACAGAACTGAAGTATCCGTCGCTGTACCATCTCATAAAATAAAAGAGATGGGAGCATATGGAAAACCACAGCCCCCCAAAGCATATTCAATCCCAGGCAGTTCCCAATCCAGAGGACGCAGGCTCACCTCCAGTACACGAGCACAGCTATAAGGAGTATGAGGCACACAAAGGTCAAGGCCGAAACCACGATCAGTGGGATGATCCACTCCATTTTGCCGGACGGTCTGGTGGCCATACTGGAGCTGTTCTTGTCTGCTGCAACGGGAAACCAAATTAATGATGCTCTCATGGACAATTTGGAAACAAAACTAAATGGCTAGTCCTTGGGTCACCTCCATTTATCACACACCTGTAGGCATTTGAGTGTAAAAGCATGGCTGCGTACTACATCACGCTGCCTGGACTCCACTCCTGTACTTAGCAAGGCTCAGTGTGACTTACCCACCGTTTCAGGACCCAAACCTGTGCTATTATCAGATGTAGCAGACACCACTCAGAATCAATCTGAAAGGTCAGTGAAGTGTAATGAATGGTCATAAATGTCTGCAGGTTTGCTTGGTCATAAATGTCTGCAGGTTCATTTGTTAACTCTTTGGGTTCATTGCAAATTCACGCAAACACATACTTAATTTTACTAATATTAGCACTTCAAAACAAAAGAAAAACCCCTTTATTAAAACCGGATCCAGTACTGTGTCAACAAACTTCCTAAGTTGTTAAGGTGCATATATACAGATGGGTTGTTGAGACGGGTGGATGTGCCTGTTGCAACCAAATGTACAAATCCGTACTGCTCTGGTTTGCACAAAATGAACTATAGCAAGATTCTGGGAAACTACAGCAAAGATAAGCCAACTTCTCTATCTGCTGGGTCTTGGCACCAAATTACCTATGATTATACGTGCAATGCATATGATTATATGATAATAAAGCATGTTTTAACAGTGCCTAGAGGCCTCAATCAAGTATTGGGACACGCAGTACCAGGACTGTATGCACATCCAGCAAAAAGATGGTCCCTTCCCTGTGAAAACTTAGATGTGAAGGGCTCTGCTGCACTGCAAAACCCCTCATCTGTGCAAGTTCACAAACTCTGATAAGTTTTCCACTCCCTAGGTGCAGTGCACAAGACTGGATGCAGTTCCCGTAGCTCGTTCTGCAGGATCTAACAGAAGGTCTGCAGCTGTCCGCAGGAGGCAGCAGGGAATGCATTAATATAAATGGCCTCAGATCTGAACAAAGGCTGACAAATACACACTTGACTCTTACTTATTATCCTCTCGTGTGGTTTCTTCTTACCACTGCAACTCCACACCCTTGTGCAGTATTATATTATCCTATCTTCTGAAACAGCAGCAAATCTTACCAGAGGAACGTAATTGCCTTTTCACCGTAGGTAGGCAAAACATGGATAATTGGAAGTCACCAGATGTCACATAATATGAAGTCATACTCTATTTTAATAGCATTTAGATTATACTTCACCATAGGCAGGAGTAAAATCCAAATAACATGGAAGTAAAGGTTAATTGTAAATGCTTTTGCCTGGCTGCTGAAAACAGAGCGAGAGTGGAGGCTGCTGCAAGCCCAGCAAGTGATCTTTCTAGCTTGGTTGATGGAGGCAGTGCCCTTTAGCAGGCGAGCCTAAATGAAGTGCTAATCAGACGGATGCCGGGGGGGGGCAGCGAACGTGCCCCGTGTGTGGAACCGATCAGCAGAGAGACGGGCAGCCAGGACCGTGTCTTAGCCCCGTCGCTGGTGCACGGAAGGCGGCGGTGGGTGCACCTTAACGCCAGCTTGTTTCAGAACAGACGGGCAGAGCTCCCATGCAGCACATAGTAAGGCCAGCATTTCAATTAGTTCTTGTAGCAGAAAGGCAACCTACGCACTGCTGTTTCTTTAAGAGAGAACCTCGATTTCAGCTGAGAAGGAAAAAACCCCCCAAAATAACCAAAGGGGAAAAAAAACAACAACCCAGAACCCAAAGAATCAATTTTCTGCACTTGCTAAACCCCCAGGATTCATAAATCAAAGAAATGTGTACTTTTGCACTGAGCACTTTTATCAGCAAATCTCCATCCACTTAAACACCAAACGGGGAAGCCCCACAGCCCACAGGGCAGGGCAAGTATTAGTCATTAGGGGGCAAAGTAAAACCATATGCTCCAATCGAACTTACCGGGAAAGCCAAATGCTCCCAAAATGCCCCAGCGCCTATTCAAATATTACTTCCTCTCCCACAAGGCAAGGGTGCCATCCAGGAGCATCCCCCTGCACTTCAATACAAGAATGCAAGCTCCCGTTTGCTTGAAAGCACGGAAATCACTCGGGGAACAGCGCGGGCTGCAGTCCCAACCTCCTTGGGGTGAAGTACGCTCTCGGTAATATGCATGATGCTGTGCTTACAGGGAAGATTTTTTACTTATCTGACCTCTCCTATCTCCTATGCTGCAGATGTGCAAAGAAGAAAACACTCTGCATGCCCAAAGCTGGCACAGCCAGTCTGATTCACTGAGGCTGAAATTGGAAGCGGGGACGGCAACCCATGATCTCTCACAAAGGAAAAGAAGCGCGGGCTTGCTTTGAAGACCAAGTCTTAGATGTCTCTCCTTGCTTAAGAAAACATTTGAAGGGAGTTGAAACAAAACCATATCAGTGGAAGTTGCTACACGATGACTGTGGAGGCCAGAAGAATTTAGTAGTACATCTGGGCTGCCAGCAGGTGTCTTTCTGGGTGCCAGGGCAGAGAAGCGTATAAAAAGGCAGCGTGCTGAGTAATGTGAAAAACACGGAAGAAAATACACATTTGCAATGAAGAGAGGGAGCTTTAGACTCCCCTTCACTCTAGAAAAAATACCAGCCTTGCAATTTTTCACTGTTAACACAGGACGCTGGAGCTGCAATAGCACCAATAACGTGCCCTTGTTAGAGCTGTGCCCACTAATGCCTGACTTTGGTATTAAAATAAAAAAAAAATCCCTCATGTACGAGGATCTCCAGTTTTGCTAAGAAATGTAAACAGTTTCCAGTGGCATATGTCATCGCTGAATTAATTCAGTTTGCCTTTTACTGGCTTGGAATTCATCCCAGTAGGAAGGAATAAAAATTATTATAGCGTAACCACTTCAGGAAGTCCTGCACCACATGAGCCCAGGCAGCTCTAAATCCACTTCTCTGTGTGGCAAAGTGTGTAGGTCTTCATAACAAGCGCCTTCTCGAGAAGCACTCGCTCGGCAGCTTCGTCTCTCCCGGGACCCTGCACCGGGGACAGGACAGCAAGGCAGGCTTTGGCAGAGGGACTTCAGGGCAGGAGCCAGCATGAGCAAGGGGCGTTCTGCATTTGGACACGTCGACGGTCTCTCTAAATGTCCGTGGTCACCGAGCCGTGAGAACATAAATATCTTTATTCTCCATAGGGAGCGTCACTTCTTGTAACATGCAATTGTTAATAGGAATTTACTATCCTACCTGAGCTCTACCCCTGGCTGAAACTTTCTCTTTATCATCCTGCCACGCCGCGTGGGACCACCGCCAGGGCCGGGACCACGTTCTGCCTGCTTGCTGTTATAGGGACGGGTACCCAGGACAACAGAGAGCCCCCCGATTTCATGCCCCCTCCAATGGCACCGTCCCAGCCGTGCTGATTCATATCATGAAATCCTTTAAATGCAAGTCAGCTTCAACTTTTCCTCTGAGTCAATGAGATAATAAACTGTTACAGCATCATCAATTAGTAAGGCCTGAGGGCAGTGCCAGCCATCTTATGCAAGTGTGGAAATTTGAGAGTTTTTTTATTGAAAAAAAAAAAAAGCAACCCTATATTTTTTATTGAAATGAATGTCAGCACACTCTTTTACCTACAAATAGTTTTGCAGCTCTCATCCCTGTGGATCCTGAGCTATTAAATGCATCTTTTCACTACCTAATAAACAGATGTTGATGGCATTTAACCTGAGTGCTGGATAACGCGGATTCACCAAGTTCAAATGACCAAATGAAGTCTCCTTGTGCAATCCAGGCGGTCGCCGACAAGCATTCAAGCCCCTTGACTGTATAGGTGGCTCTAAGATGCCGTGCAAAACAGCTCAAAATTCACATGAAAATACAACTTAATAATCCTTGCTACCTGTGGAGCAAGAGAGCATTATACGCAGATGTTTAATTATCCTAACAAAGTTATCCCCAAAAGGCTTTTGCAGCCTCCTCCCTGGTTGGGCTGTTCTAGAAACCAAAATTCACTGAGCGCTGAAATCGCGTCCTGGGACTAAACGCGATTTAGGATGCAGAGCATCGTCTCCCGATAAAGGTCTCCTGCCAGAGGAGGTCAGAACACCCCGTGGAAGCTGGAGAGGAGCGGGGAGGAGCTGAGTAATGCTCATCTCAAGTGGAGTCCCACTGGGCCAATACCCAGATCTCCGCTGTTTTCAATCTATGATCATGACTCAGACAGAAGCACCAACTGGAAAAAATGTTAATTTGTTCATGACAGGGAGCAGGAAGTGCACTCGCTACACAGGATCAAACAGAAAGGATTCATTTCAGCTTCCAACATGACAATCACAACTCTCTTGATTAATATCTGCTAAGACTGGATCATGATTGTTCTTTTTTTGGTGGAATAATATTGCTGTCATGGCCTCTCCTCCTCATTTTCAGTTTTAAAAGAATACAGAATAATGCAGAGCACCTGTCTATTTAACACCCGCAGACCAAAGGGACGATTAGGCAAACAGCAAACTAGAGATGGCTTGACAAGAAACTGGAATAGGAGCATGTGAGCAAGCACTCAGGAGCAGAAAGAGTCATTAATGTTGGCCGATACTACCAGAGCAGAGGAGGCCACTGCCATTTGGAAAATAATGACGTGGCCTCAAGAGAGGTGTGTGTACGCGAGTGTGAAATAAGTGCTAAAAGAAAATGAGCCTTGCTGTACTAATTGGCCTCTCACTTTCCCAGTAATTTCTCATGTGTTCCCTGTTCTCCTCTCATCACCCACACTCACATGTCCTTCCTCTTTCAGCCATCGCCTTACACACTGCTAATTTGATTCTCTATAATTAATTTTACAAGTGTACACTGTTAGGAAACAGTTTTCTGCTCTTTAAAACGTTGACCATGATTCTGTTGTTTCTTCGCTGTTTTAACATACAAATTAGTTATCCAAAAAAACCCAACCCCCTGCTCTGCCCTCCCCGTGTGTTCCCGAGGACACCCTGAAGAGCGGGATGTTTCCCGTCCCTGAGAATTTGGCTGTGATATAAAGCAGTGATTCTCGAGCAGGGAGATCCTTTTAAGGGTGTTGCTACCCAATTTTAGCACTGTATTTAAGCACAGATATTTAAGATGCTTTTCATAGTATTCTAACTCCAGAGCAGCCTGGATGGAAAAAGAAAATTACCAAACATACAACGGCTTGGCAAAAGTGCGGAATTAAAAGTGGAAGCAGCAAAAAGCCTGCCAGCTCGCAGATGCAACGATAACGCCACGCGACGCGCGGTAATCGTTACAGAAATTAACTTTACGTCATGGTAAAATCGCAGCAGGAGACCAGCGTCCTGATCCCAGGGTCAGATCCAGGAGAACGTGCCCCTGCTAACTTCCCCGCTCTGCATGCAGTGCAAGGGACCGCGCGTGCGGAGCTGTTTGCCAGAACCAGGGCTCGTGGATGTGTGTGATGAGGAGTCAGCCAGACAGGCTCCCGCTTCACGGAGGAGAGCCTGCACATCAATCAGGCTAACTCGAAAACACAACTAGCGAGTTCCCCAGGACAAAATAAATATACGCCAGCTACAGCAGCCATTCTTCAAAGTTAACGTCACAGTTGGAGTTAGGGGTATTAATTTTTAAAACCAAAATTCCTGAAGCAGCCAAATGCATTACAGGCTAATTTCTTGCCAGACTTCATTTTCTTATTTGGAGCATGGGTTTTTAATTGGAGACTGGGTAACTTCCTAATGAAATCAAACCCCAGTGGTGTTTCCCCCCCCTCCATCCCCACAATCATTTTAAGAGCATTTGTAGGCTGAGCCCAGAATCAACTTTTGCAGCATGAGACCCAAGCGTTGCTAACTGAACCGCGTGGGGTTCAAAGCTGCAAGAAAATGGGTCCTTCTGTTTTATTATGCACCAGAATCTGGGATGGCCAGATGGCGCAGCTCCCCACCCCGGCTCACTCACCTGGGTTTATGGTGATGAACTTGTTATCTGACGGATTTTCCTCCAGAAACCTGTCGTCTTTAGGAAAAGGTTTCCATGATGCTGTCTCTGGTCTCCCAGGGATTTGCCCTAGGTAATGTTCGTTTGTGAATGCTGGTGGCACTTGGGTGGAAGGGAGGGGTTGGGGCTGGGTATCTGTTTCGGTCGTGCTCCCTTCTTCGGGGCTCCTATCTGTTGGGAAAACGTTTTGGTTTTGCTCTTGACCAGGTATGGTTTTATTTCCTTCCTTTTCCGCAGTCCTATTGGGGGAAACAGTGGCGGGCGCGGACTCGGTGTTATTTTGTACCTCGGCAGCCTCCGTCGCTGCACTTTTCTCTTTTTTTTCTGATTCTTTTTCTCCCTCTTCTTCGTGCTCCCTTTCGCCATCCTCGCTCTCGCTCTTCTCATCCTTTTCTCCTTCCTCCGCTCCGTCATTGTCTTTTGGGAGGGTGGAATCGCTGTCTGGTCCTGGGGAAGATAAAGCCTCCGTGGTAGCGAGCACGGGCCTGGCTGACTGTTTGCTGGTAGAAGCAGCAGTCGGAAGCCGGGTCGGCCACACAGTACTAGGAAAAGAGGAAATACCGCCACCGCTAAAGCCCAGGCCGGCAAGCAGCGTGCTGGTCACCACAGAAGCCACCGTGGCTTGGCTCCCGCTGGAGGAAGGTCCCATTCCTGTTGCCATTGAAACAAAGGAGAAGGGAAGGCCAGAGGAAGTCCAGGTAGAAGATCCAGAACTGATGGGAGCCATGTCAGCGGAGGAAGCAGGAGAAGCTGTAGGCTTGAAGAGGTCACCAGGAGGGGCAAGGGAAGAAAACACAGCAGAGAGAGCATCAGTAGGGGTACCTGATATGCTACCTCGGGCCGTTTTTCCTTTTGTTTTCTTTCTCTTTCTCTTTCCATTCTGCTCATTACTCTGTTCAAATGAGACAAGTACATTTATACAAACTGGAGTAAGATCCACCCCACAACAGCACAAGCACAAGAGTCACAAAGTAAAATGATGAGGGGAGCAGACTTTCCCTGGGTCCAAAATATGAATCACACCAATGGGTCTTTATTTTTGTCTTCGCTCTCCCCACCTCTAGCTGCTTTCGAGCAGGGTTTCCCTTTTGGGGTGGGAACACATTTGAGAAGGTTTAAACAAGCGCAGTTTTGCCCGTTGCAGCTCTTTAAGCCTGGCCATGCAGAAGTCCAAAACTTTAGGGGTGCGTCTACACGAGACGCTTACTGCGCAGTAGAGTGTCACCGCACAAACCGTGCTAACAGCCTGCTGCACCGTGTTAGCAGGCTAAAGCACAGTAAGCGTCACTAAATAATTGTGTGCCGGCACTAACTTTAGGTGCTGAGCATTTAGTTAGTACTTTATTAAGGATGTACTAAACCAAGGTGCATTAATGAACATGTAGATGCACTTTATTAAGGATGTACTAAACCAAGGTGCATTAATGAACATGGAGATGCACCCAAGATGACATAAGTGGCCACCCAAAATAACAACTGAGTTGCTAAGGTGTGTAGGTGCTGCAGCAGCCACTCATGCTCCCAGATTTGGGAGTGAACAGGTCACATGGGTGCTGGGACCCTCCCACTGAGACCCGGTCAGTGGGACTGCAGCCTCCACCGGCATCATGTTCAGCGAGGCTGGTCTGCACCACATAGCTTGTCTTACGGTTTGGCGTTACGGCCAGCTAGGCATTGTCTTCTTGGAAAAGATCCCCGTTGCACACCTGGAAGAGTGCTCGTATGGGACCGTAGGAGGGTGGAAGGGGTCTCCCTCCTGCCCCGAGCTGGCTCCCATCAGTGCCAGTCCTTAGCAACCACCACCAAGTTGCTACCTCCCAACCCACGCAGCTCTCTGCCCCCACTGCAAGCACAGCCGAGCCAGAACAAAGGGCTGGCACAACTCGCTTTCCCAGCGGAGCCGCGGGAGGGAAAAGCAGAGGCTCAATTGCAACTTGGAGCTTTAGCTCTGCACTACCTGCACTCGGGCTGGACTGTAGGGTGCTGGTGACCGCTCTCCAAGCTCATCACCTTGCCTAATCTAAATAAAAATGGAAGATGCATGCAAAAAAGAGCTCCGCGATGACTGTCTGGAGGGGCCTAAGCTACAACTGGGAAAAGGCAGGTGGTGAAGTCATGCCCAAAGACACGAGCTAATCCTGCGGAGGAGCTGGGCTTTACACTCCCCGCTCAGGCCACGTGGCCTCTCTGATTTAGGAAACATGCTTCTTGTTACTAGTTTAGGTGACAAAACTAAAGCAGGGGCTACAGGAAGGAAGGGCAGATGGGGCGGAAAGAGAAGCATCTCTATCCAAACCAGAAAGCATCTCAAAGCCTAAATATCCTGTTGGAATTTGGAAGAAGTTTGGTAGTTGAAGGATACTTCCCTTTCCCTCTGCAATTCAGGCAGGCCAGCGAGCTAGAAAGCTGCAGCACAATATGAAAGGCTGCTCTCTCATGCTGTTTCTGCCATCACAAAGAACTTGAGATCTCCAGAGAAAGTCTGTTCTTTGGAGATTTCCAGCCTGAACTTTAAATAAGCCTCTGAATTTTGGGAGGCTGCTCCATCTGAAGTCTCTGCAGCTCTGTGAGATTTGCCTTTTTCTGGCAGACATGGTTCATCTCCGAGCTGGGCTGCAGAATTACAATCTGACCGCACGTTTTGCATGTCTAGTGCACCTCTGCATCATTGTTAGAGATGTTAATCACTCTTAATCAAGAGCTGCATGCATGTTACTGGCATAGGGGCAGCTTGTTACCATTCATGAAGCCAGGACTAAAGCACTTGGGGCAAGAGCCATAGAGGCATGCTAGATGTTTTCAAATTTAGATATGGCAACACCTAAAAATGAGGCCCCGGCCGTTGGTTCAAAGGAACAAGGTTAGGCATATGGGCTCCCAGCGCTGTCTCGGGGAGAGCTGGATGTATCTGAAGGGAGGTGCAGAGCTGCCAGACGCTGAGCTAGACGATAAGAAACATGGAGTCCAGGAGTTTGCCTGGAAACCCACCTTTCTCAGGAGCTTACAGCTCCTTTTGCAAGCCAGCGCCCCGAGCATGCCCTGCAGGACAGACTCGCACGGGTCCTCGCAGCCCCTGGGGATGGTACGCTCGGCGCTGAACTGGTCACTTCTCTTGGGGCCATGGGTGGGTTGCTCTGCTGCATACTGGGATGCCAAAAAAGCTTGGCAAGAGTCACACTTGCATCTCCCAGGCTGCTTTGGCACAGGGGTTGGTGCCTTGGGGAACCCAGGGAACTCTGCCGTCTCTGAATGAGTGCAGCTGCCTCCAGGGTTAAGCGTCTGCTGA